TGTTATTTCGCTAATTTACTGTTTATTAGTTTAAAGATTAAAGTGCAATGACCAAGAGTTTTCAATAATAATGTTTTCCCTTCTCTCTGCAGACTGCAGTCCTGAGTTCGGATTATTAAACAGAAAGGGAAAATAATAATAATAATAGCGGGGTGTGCTGGCAGAAAATTACGTTGGGAAACTAAGCTAACACAGCTGATAGAGGTCCCGAACCTGGGTTTGTGATGTGACTGCTGGCTGCGCCTAAGTGGCGCTTTTACGCACGATGGAAGACCTTTTACGCGAGCAGTACAGTTGGTCTCACAATCTCACATGGAGCAGCTCAAGTCGTGAAAATGAAAGCTACGTAGGAAACACCACGGTGAACCCTCTGAAACGAAATGAAGAAGTGGCTAAAGTGGAAGTTACCGTTCTGGTCCTTGTGCTGCTTCTCGCGCTGACAGGCAATATGTGCGTCCTGTGGGCTATTCACACCACCAAGCACAGTCAGTCTCGGATGTATTACTTCATGAAGCACCTGAGCATCGCAGACCTTGTAGTTGCAATCTTTCAGGTTTTACCTCAGCTCATCTGGGATATCACTTTTCGCTTCTATGGACCCGATTTGCTGTGCAGGTTGGTGAAATACCTCCAGGTCGTGGGTATGTTTGCGTCTACGTACATGCTGGTTTTAATGTCGATAGACAGGTGCTTGGCAGTCTGCCAGCCACTTCGCTCCGTGCACAAGAAAAAAGACCGCTTCTGTGTGATCGCCTCTTGGATGCTCAGCCTGATATTCAGCAGTCCTCAAGCTTACATATTTTCTCTTAGGGAGGTCGGTAATGGTGTGTATGACTGCTGGGGGGACTTCGTGCAGCCTTGGGGTGCCAAAGCATACATCACTTGGATGAGTTTGAGCATTTACATTTTCCCAGTGGCCATTTTAAGCATCTGCTATGGTTTGATATGTTTTAAAATATGGGAGAATTTCAATCTAAAAACCAGAAGGGAGCACTTTCTGGCTCTCACTCCAAGGCCCTCCAAAGGCGCCCAACCCTTTTCTCGTGTGAGCAGCGTGAGACTCATTTCGAAGGCTAAGATCCGCACAGTAAAAATGACATTTGTAGTGGTACTTGCTTATATTGTGTGCTGGACTCCTTTTTTCTTTGTCCAGATGTGGTCGGCATGGGATCCTGCTGCACCAAGAGAAGGTAAAAGCGCACCCAACGGCCTTCGTTTTACCATAACAGTTTTTCTTTTTAAAGTGTTTACACATTTTGATTAATGGCAATATTTATTGGTTTATGACGCCGTTTTCTTCCTTCTATTGTGGGCAAAGTGCTTAGTGACACAATGACTAATGCGTCGTCTTTGTCCAAGATTAATGGTGTTGATTTTTTTTTTTTTGCCAAAAGCACTTAATAGGGAAAAAAAAAATTCTGTTCCACAAGTGTCCCACGCAAACAAAAATCATTCTTCCACCTCACAACACATCTTTAGGAATGCACAAGCAATCCGCCGTTCTTTCAAGGCAACACAATGGTGTTTAAAATCAGACTTCCCCAGAGTAAACAGAAATGGATGGGAGTAACATTCATAGTGGTTATCAGTTTGAAGAAAGACCTCAGAGCCTCTAGGGGAGTAAATGTACCAGAACATCAAAGCGTTTCTGTCTCAATTCCCAGTGCTATTTTGTCTAATATCCATTTAATTGAACTGTTTGTTCAGATATACTCCTCAGATCTTGTCAGTTTGCCATTAAAGTAGACATTCAAGCTGCATTATCTTAAAAACATCCACAAATGTGCATTCAGAGCTTTCAGAGATTCCAATCAATGTTTTGGTGGCCAGACTTTCCCCCCAGAATAATCATTTTCCTGTTGCTCTCATTTAAAAAAAATAAAAAATACCAAGGCCAAAAATGTGTCAAACAAGCACAAATTACATTTAAAATATATCTAAAAAGAAAAAAAATCCCAGAAGGCTGTGTTATATTAGGGACTCCAGATTGCTTGAAGTATTGAAGTATTTTTTGTCAGAGTGCATTTAGCAATATAAGTATTATCTGTGGACACAAAAAGTACGTTTAGTGGCTTAGAAATAAAGAATAAAACTTTAGAAATAAAGAAAATTTATGTTGGTCTCACATTCATATATTATATCAACTTTCAAAATTTTTTCTGTCTTCATCTTCTTGGTTTACTCAGGTCAAGCAGTATCATCTGTTTCTCAATAAATACACCTGAACAATAATTGAAAAAAGTTACACATATATTTTGCCATTAAGCAGCCACAATAAAAACTTGTTTCCTTCTTTATAACTCAGTGGGATAGCAATGTTACCGGATTTAACACTCTAATATTAAGCATATATTTAATATTTGTAAATCCAAATAATAATGCAGAATAGGGGAATGAACAGTGCAATCACTTTAAATTGATCAGTCTTTTTTATTATGAACAAAGCCAAGCCAAGGACTGGAGAAGGGTTTCCAAACCTACCACTGACTTAATCTTTGCCACGTCTCTGTCTGTCATGCAAGCAGCGGGGAAGCCTCTTTCGGTGTTGCACATATTATTATCTTATCAGCAGACTGTTATTGTAGAATCATTTCTCTACTGTTCCCACTCTGGTAAATTTTAAAAAGCCTTTTTAATTGTAATTATACTTTTTAACTTGAAGCAAGTAAGAAAGCATTGCTTAAGGAGCTCAAAAATTTTATAAATCAGTAGAGGGTTACAAAAAATTCCTTTGACATATAGTCATGCTTGCATAAGTAAATCATAAGAGTGAGTGACTGGTCTGCCTCTGGTACTATTTACAGGGCATAACAAAAATACAGTGGGGCTTAATACATCAGTATAATTTGTGGAACTGGAGCAGTTTTATGAGAGGCAGACAACAGATTGAATTTAAATCAGGCTTTGTGGTTTCAGTGCACATCAAATTCTTTTAGATTTCAAAAAATACTTTTCCAAGGAAAGTCTCTGTGCAAATCTATATGCAAAAGTAAAGATAATTTAGATTCTCTATATTTTCTGACTCATTGCAGTCTCTTTGAAGTAATGCCACATGGGTTAAGACTCCATGAAGGTCGTGCTTATCAGGGCATTTGATCCAGCATGAAACCTGTGAACTTTTTTCCAGGGCCTGCACTTCAGTCATAACATCACACTGTAAAACTTCCAAAGGATTCACTGATAATGGAGGAGAATGTGGCTTCTTGCACTCCTGCAATGTTTTCTTAACTTTTTATCCTCAAACTTATCTTTGATATAGAGCCTGTTCTTCCACAAAGTGACAGCAGCTCTGTTTTTGAAGTTGACATCTCATCCTTTATATTTCTCCTGAAAAGAGCAGTAAATCACAATGCTGAAAAGGAGTTAAGATAAATGTTTTTCTTTCATTTCAGAAAGTGATGAATGCATTGTACCAATATAAAAAGGAAAAGTTGAATGCTGTCATTTTCAGTTTTTTTCCCCTCTGTATTTCCAGTGGCTAGGATTTCTTGCACCAAATGATTTTACAACTCTGGGCAGGCTGTTAAACACTTTTCAGAATTTTGATGGGCCATTTGGTTGGCACACCTCTCACAATAAAGCAAAGTACTGTGGGGACTCAGAGTACAGGGAAGAGAATGGGTCAGTGCTTGAGGACCGACGCCAGCAAGCTCTAAATCTCTCTCACCCTATTTAGGATAAAGAGGGGGGACTTGGAAGTTGTCCTCTTTCCACTTTTCAGATTATGTGCTTATTCAGTGTACTCCAGGGCTCTAATAATTGGAATGTAATCAATTGAGTGAATGAAAAAAAAAGCTGTATTTTTTCCACCAAGGACAGGTTCTTTTAATCGAAGCTGTTCGTCATATTTGTTTTCAAGCAACCTAAAGTTCTATCTGTGAGGCATCCAGCAGCTACCATGTTTCATTTTTATGATCCAAAATGTTTTTTGGAGGAGGAAGTCTGAATTGCATTAGCTTGTCAGCTAATATAATTCTGTATGAATAATGTGGGTATACAATAAGTACATCAGATTGACAGATTTACAATACATACATGAAATTAAGCATTAAAAAGGGCCCCAGTGGTTTTACTGGGTTTTATGACCCCAACCCAGTACTTTTAGTGACCTAAAAGATTATCAACCACACTATTAGATATGCTATCCTAAAATATTACATCAGATGGTGGGGCTTGATGAAAAAGCAGGGTGTTTAAGTTGTTAGACTATAAAGTAGTTGTTCAGATATTTAAATACAAACTAAAAGTGTTGGCTCAAGTAATAAATTGCCATTACCCTTCCTAGAGCCTCGTGAAGCTTGAACAACTTATGAATAAACAAACTTTCAAACCTAAGCATCGAGTGATTACATCTTACTGTGATGGGGAAAGACTTGCTAGTCTTTTTAAAGATCAACCCACTTCTTCTTTCTAAACTGTTCATTTTATTCATGGTGGCAAGGTCTGGTATTTTTCCCATCTTTATTTTCATCACTGTCAGCAAATGCAGTGAAAAGCTGACAACTAGATACGTGTTAGTTTGTCTCTTAACACTTCTCTGCACTGTTTGTAGCTATAATTCTCACATCTGGTGGTTTCTACAGATGATCAAAATCTTTAAAAAAAAGTAGTTTGCTACTAAAGTATTAAAAGAAAGTTTCAAAAATACACAATTTAAAACAGGAAGACAGTGTATTTGTTGGGTATGTATTTGTTTCAAATTATTTGGTAAATATATCTATAGGACTGAATGCCAATGTGGTTGTAAATTATTGTGCCAATGGTCATGTTTATCACAAAACATGTTATCCAGTTTAACGCTGCATGTCACTCATATGTTTTTAATGTCATCTGGATAAGATCAGTCGAGCTACACAGCTGATATTTGTTAGTAGAGTCAGTTCAATGTTGGTTGTGGCTTTTCTGGGAAATAACAGACTAAAAGAAGAATGTATGAAGAGGGGAAAAAAAGTCTTTCAAAATAACCTCTTACATGTTCTTGTTTCTCTCCGTCTTCCTAGACATGGCTTTCATCATTGCAATGTTGCTAGCCAGTCTCAATAGCTGCTGTAACCCGTGGATTTACATGTTCTTCGCGGGTCACCTATTCCATGACCTGATGCAGTGTTTCTTCTGCTGCTGTCGACGGTACCTGACAGAATGCTCGTGCAGCTGTGATCAACAGTGCAGACACAAAAGGGGCTCCTCCACTTACGTTAACAAGAACACCAACAGTCAGAGGAGCCTCTCACGCACATCCAGTATGGTACACTGAAAAGCCAGCTAAAAGGCATGCAAGCTTCGTGCAATCAAGTAATCTAGCACTCATACAGCTACCCATTTCACCCATTTAACTGACTACAGAGGCAGTGTGCTGGCTATTGCTGCACATTTTTTCTGTAACATTTTGAATCGAGCTAAACTGACAATGTAAACTTCCTGTCCAGATGACACCCTGCACCCACTGGTGACAGAAAACAGTACAAATGGTGTTTTATATATATCGTGTATAGAATTTGAACAAAATGTGATGTAAAATTTAAAAATAATTTGTTATCATTTTCATCTTTCTTTGCAACAAAAAATATGTGTAAAGGTAAGGTAATATGTAATGTGTGATGTGAAAGGTCAGCTACGTTTATTCATATATGTTTGTTGTGAATTGTCAAAGAAAACATTGTAGTGTATAGCCTCCACAGGGAGAAGCTTTAAGGTGGAGGAGGGGATTATATAAAAGGGTTGGGGCATTAGTGTCAGCAGTAGAGCTGTCAAATAAAAAACAGTCTGTCTGCGAGAGGGAAAGTGCTCTGATTTGTGATTTGGGTGAAGTTATACTAATTTGACCTGAAGATTGAACCCTCCAAACCAACCAAAGTTTCATAATTCACACTTATAAGACACAAAGACTTTTTTTTCCTCAAAAGCTCAAATCAGTGTGGAAATAAATCTGCAAATACGTAATTGGTCCAATACCATCACACAGTAAATTTCATAAGTCATGAATGATAGTTATCTGTCCACTTTCTGCCATCCTGTCTGTCTATAGATATTATATCTAACAGAGATTTCTCTTAGACATAGCATATGCCACAGTAAATTCTGATGTGCATGGATTTCTGCAACAATAAAGTGTGCCAGTGAAGTCGATCTCTGTCGTGTGAATGTGGATGCCACTGCACATCTGTTCCTGCCTGTTGTTAGTGACAGCTGTGGGAGTGGAAGAGTGACATCAGAAACACCTATTTCAATCAAGTGTTTGCTGCCTCAAATTGCTAAATGTACTGTAGGCAATCTTGACACATCACAATAACTAACTGGATATACAGTATCTCCCTGCATGGTCATTTGTCTTCAAGCAAGAAGATAAAGAGATGACACAGGAAAACTTAACCTTATATTAGGGATGTTGCAACAAAAGAGCATATCATCGTTGTATTTGAAAAATGCTTTAATAATGTCTTTTTAATATCAACAATAAGTCTAAAAGTGTATTAGTTTAAAAACCATATTAAACCATGTCTTTTACTTTCATTTCCTTCCAGGACAATACATCAAATATTAATTATTATTATTCAGAAACATATTCTTGATATTCTGTTCAATGCTAAACCTTTAACAATTATAAAGTTTCTTTCTCTATGACCACAACTGAGCCGTGATAGAGGAGAAGCTCATGTCCAGTAATTATAATTGTGAAATGAAAGATATTTGCACAATCAAATATTTTTTCATTGACAAAGTAGAACTCATTTCAACACTTGGTACAAGGTAACTGAACTCTTTTTTTCTGACTAGACAAAGTATTGTTAAAGCCCCTTTTCATACATCCTCAAACCTAGATCTTGAAAAGCCCAAACTCTATTACATATTATGTAATATTCAAATTGCAAAAAATGATTTCTGCATGCATTTCTTAAACTATAATCCCTCAGAGTGAAAAAAGAACTACATGCTGAGCAAAAAGAGTCACTAAAATGGTTTCACATCCCGAATGTGAAACGAAGAATTGCGTCACCATTGATTTTTTACTTCAAGTCTCAGCAGATACTATCGAACTTTAATAATAGCTATAAATAATGGGTGTTACATTTTGGATAAAGTATTTTTTTTTAAATGCTGCTTGGTTTGGGTCCACGTGACCACACAACAGTAAGTGCACTTGTCCATGTCAATGAGCATTTGCAGTCTTGAAGTGCTTCTCACATGTGAGTCTCATTCTTTGGCCAGGTGAATGCTGAAGCCACCACAACATTTTCCAGCACTTGTGAGAAAAGGCTGTACAATGACACCAAGGACAATGCTCCATAGGCTCTGCAGCCAGCGAGTGCCAATAAGGAGACACTGGATACAGGGACTAACCAACCTGTCATAGAAGAGAACACAAAAATTTTGTTTTAATATGTAACAGTAATAATTTCCTATTTCTAATTTCTCATGTTGAATTAATATATAACACTCTGCTATAACACTTTGTTTCTCAACAATGAAGTGAAGAGATTAGTACTTATATGGCATCTTAAAGTTATCCTAATGCAGAAAAGCTCGGAAAACACCTGGCTTCCCAAAACAAAATTGGAGGGGGGCTTGAATCAGACCCATCCCACCTTTCAGCAGTCATGTCTTTCAGACTTCACATAACCACAAGGTTTTAATTGACATCATCGAGGTCATTTCTTTGAGCGATTTGAAAGCTCCCTCCAGGCCATGGAAGCTATCGCCCATGGAGTGACACTTTAATAGCATTATAGAAAATTTTTCCCCATCAATATTTCTCAGATTCTTGTCTCATCTCCAGAGGGGTCAGGTGGCTCTTTAGCCTCGAGGCCGGAGGTTCGGATATGTTTTGATGACCATGTGCCAATTTAGGGAGCCACCCAACAGAGGCAAAATGCACTTATGTTGGCATGGTTCATTTCTGTGTCAGTTTATAATTATAACAACCATTATGGAGGAGGATGTTATATTCTCTGACCGCAGCTGTATGTGTCAGTCTTAGGAAGGCTTAGTCTTTTATGATGGTTGGGAAAAAAAATCAAGCTGAAGAAAAAATTTGTCTAGTTCATGCTGCTATACCACAGTATGATGTGTACTGGGGAAAGATTAAAATGTATAGTAATGCATTCTTTCACTGTTGTGTGTGCAGGCTCAATAAGCGGTCACAAAAGGTCACCTGTACATTACTTTAATTGAAAACAAAAATCTTAATTACTAACCTAGAGGTCCGAATCTAAACCTACCAGATATGAAGACAGCTGAGGATGGCAAACAGGAGTCCAGAGATTATTGACACAGGAATGGCCAAAAATACTGTGACTATCCGGTAAATCCAAATCCTAGACACCTCGAACAGGGCATGGCTCCAGATCCACACTCTGTCACCGCTCCGCACTGATACCGGCTCAGCTATAACATCCTCAAACGTCACCTAAAGAATATTTAAGTGCTTTCTGTTTTTTTCAGCTAATGTGCAGCATGACAAATGTACAGATAGACCATGAGATAAAGTTTAATAGAGCTACTGCAGAAAGAATGCAATACCTTAAGGCAGTCATTGATACCTCGGGGGTCTCTTGCATTAATCAGCGGCTTGGTATCACTGATTTCCACTAGTGTAGACGTGTGAATGTTTTCCTCCTCTTCCATAGCAGGAGAGGCCTTCCACAGTGTCTCACGTTGCTCCCCATTTTCAAAGTCTTCAGGGTCACTGGAGTCCCCCAAATCTATATCCACTTCCTCTGAATCGTCCCCTTTCATCATGGTGTTAATTAAATGCAAAAAAAAAAGCACAACCAAAGAAAAACAGAGTGGGAAATTGTTACATTAGTAACACTCCAGACTGTGTGAGGCCATTGACTGGAACAGCCCAGCCGGCTGTGCCGGGAGGTTATATTGGGAACGTTACAGTGCCCTGGGTGGTATTTGCAGATGGTCTTTCAAGTGAAGATCATTTTCCTCTGCTGTGGGAAGATATGGGAGGAGGATATAAATACTATGGGCATGAACAGAGATAGCTCTGTATACACTGATACGCCCAAGTGGGACAGACAGACACTGAAGTATAAAGGTCAATTCAGCTTTATTTAACTGGCAACTGTAAACAATAAAAAAAAATCAATTCAGGAATCCGTGCATTGCAATGACCTTACAGTATCATAGACTGAAACTAAATGATTTCCTTCATCTTTTACTTTAGTTGTTTGTAATACAACAAGGCAGAGATGCAGAACTAAAAAGGATTTCAACCGAACATATGCAGTGATACTGGAATTCCTGTCATGCTGATTCTAAAATGTTATTCATAGGCTCCATTACTTCTGCATCTAAAAAGCCTTTAACTACGAGACAACACTGCCCCTATCTGGCCTTTTATGGAAATTAACTACTTATCTTTGCCTGTTCCTAATCTAAAACACTGAAATGCTATCCAGTTCTGTACAAGTAATATTTACATCGTGGTTCACTGCTATCAGTAGGTCAAATACTCATCCAATCAGACCATATAAGATACACAAAACTAAGCAACACATACACAAGAGATAGTAAGAAACAAAATCTATACAGTAAATATTGGTGTATGATGTTGTACAATGTAGAACCTAAAATAAAAGAAGCTTATATCAGCAAGGCAAATAGCATGGTGCTGGGTGGATGGAGAGAGAGCAAAAACTGAGGCAGCCAGCTTTTAGAGATGGGCCAGGAGCTTCCAGTTGCATTCATTAACTCTAACAGGGGCTATCACAGTGCATACATCAGGATTTACATAATGGCAGCCCACAGTTCCAACCAGACACTCCATGGGTTCCCTGGCTCAAAACTAAATGAGTTTAAGATGAGCAAATTAAATATAAGGACCAAAACTTAACATATTTAATTTCTTAAGAACATAGCAGCTTTCTGACTTCCTATCCAAAGTTTAATTAGACAATTGTATATAAGTGGCTTGACGGTTGTAGATGGTGTTCTGACCAAGCGGTTGCACAATATTCTAAATGTAAATATGTGGTTGAATGAATTAAACTTTTGCAGTATGAAATGGTAGATTGTCTCTAATGGCTGTAAATGGATGATGGCTTTTGTAACTTTTATCACCCTTTACCTTTATGTCCAAAAAAAAAAGAAAAAAAAAGCACATAAAAATTGAGTAATCATATCTTGATCAATATTAAGAGTAATGCATTAAAAAGTTTTGCTCTTTTCAATCCTGAAAAACAGTTTAAAGAAACAAATGGGGGAAAAAGCCAAGCCTGATCTGAAAGACTGAATGAACATGGCACTACGTAACAACCTGCTGTCGAGTATGTAACAAACTGTACATTTGTTCAGAGTTGGGGATAAGTGCTCTACTCTGTGATGAGCACTCTACGGTCTCCATGGTAATGATAATTTCTGCCTGCTGGATGGAGATAGAGAGAGAACACAGTGTATGGATGGCAGTGAATTTCCTGTGTTGGTGCAGGAGACAATGGTATGCTAATGGACTGCACACTTCACCAGATGGGGTTTGTTTGTTTCCGGCTTCACAGGTGAGGTCAGCAGACGGTGAGTGCATGTGTGAAGCAGCCAGATAGGGAGAGAGGGGAGAAGCAACCATGAGGGAAAGATAGAAAAAGAAACACGAATATCCCAGCTCACTGAATAATGCTATTCTTACCCCAAGGCTACAATTCTGAGGGCTTGCAAGATAAGATAAGCTTCAGCTAATAAACAAATAATTGGGAGCAGTACTGTCTTTGTCATGTTTACTGAAACATATTTTTAAATAAACTTGTATGTAATAGTTGGAACATGATTTATACTTTTTATATAACAAATTACACTACTTACTTTCTTTTTATATAAATTGCATGGAGTACAAAACACTGTAAAGAAATGGTGTCACAGTTTAGGTATTTTCAAACAGGTAAATTTAAAGCTAAAAATAGAGAAAGAAAAATTTAGGAGAAAAGGTTATTTTCAGATTTTATTATTATGAGGGTTTAAGGGTTCAAGGACGATAATATTGCTTTGCAACACACGTAGAGCAGCACACTAGCCTCCAGTCACAGCTCTGATACAGAGCAGCAAATCAAATGCTCTTTTGGACTTTCTTTTATTCATCCTTCTAAATGAAGTGAAGCGTCAGAGGGCCCAGCCCCCATAGTCAGGTGCAGATTTCATGAAGACTTCACTGCAGAGGACCACGTGAACCATCACCTCATCTCTTCCTGTTTCCTGTTTAGTAAACCTTTTATATGAGGGCTGTGTAGACGTGGTTTGATCAGATTTGGTCGAGAGTGACCCAGGAACATACTCACACAGCCAGGCAACTGTCATTACATTCTGAGTCAAATTTTGCTAAATCCCAGCTGCCGCGTGGAATTACGTGAAATCCTCTTTTTAACTGATGTCCACCTACTTCAGACTAGTAGGATAAACAAAGACAGACAGTACTATTTTGTCACAACTTAAATCAAATGTGATCATGCATGTTGTGTCCAAGACTTGTAAAAGAAAATATTATGTGGAAGAATGCTGCATTATCACATTTTCCCTTATAGACTAAAATAGAGGAAAAACTGTGCAAATCACAGACTCACAATAAAGAAATTCATGTCACTGAGTGGAGAAATATTATGTTTGCTTTAAATAATCTAATATTTTAACGCCAGCTGAAGCTCAGATCCTTTTCTGCCAGCAGTAGCATTTTATGTGGGGCACAAGAGATGTCAGACAGTGTTTCTTCTCAGCACCTGCCGGTCCAGCTGTTTTCAGCACAATAGGTCAGACTGACCGTTATGTCATGATTCCCACAGTATCATGTATGAACATCTGCAGGTCAGCAAAGCAGCTCTGATACGAAGCACCGGCATCCCCAACACTTGGCATGACTATATAACAGAAAAGCTTAAAATATCCATCCAGTCAGTTCTTTTCTGTTTATTCAGTTTGGGGTCCCAGGGGGGCTGGAACCTAAGCTTAAAATATAAAAAATATATATAAAAATAAAGCATTTGGCAACACTGGTTCAAATATAGTAGATTCGACAGAACTAGTTCCATGAAAAACAGCTGGTTGCTAACCATCTACATTATGCCAAGAGGACTTCATGTCAGTGAAGCACTGTTGCTCTTGCTGCTGCTCTCTAAGCAGGATTATCTGAGTGAATTATTTTATTTTGCATAATTTGACCAGATGTGTCAATTTGCAGCCAATTTGCAGAACTCCTTACATCCTATCACACAGCTAATCTGAGTTCCTTTGGTTTGAGAGGCTAAATGGAGAGCGTAACAGCAGAAAGTGAAATGACTCATTAAAGCCAGTTCAAAAAGGAAATGCAGAGCAGAAATGGAAATGAAATGAAGGAAAGAAATTGCCATTTTAAATGTCAGAATAATCAGAATTTTGAATCCATTTACTTTTTTCTCTTTTTAAATTATTATTTTTTTTAAATTAAAAAACAAAACAATTTATTGAGTGTTTAATGTGGCTTTCTATAAGTCAATCAAGTTTATCAATAGCTTTGTTTGTTTTACATTCTTTCCTGCTTTTGGACAGTAATTATTCTATCGATTGTGAATAAACTGGGCAGGAGGTTATGCTCTGTGAGCACTGCAAACAAGGTTAAATACCTGTTGTGTTAGTTTGTATGCACTTCTGAGGAAACTCTAGGAAAATGCTGTTACTGTATAAGAGGAAGTTCTGGCAAAATAATTTGTTTCGCACCATCTGACAGCACCATCAATCAAACCTTCTCCCTTTGATTCTTCTGAAGTGATTCTCCCATTATTATGTCAGAGCATCATTCATCCTTTTGTGAAACACCAAAGCAGGCCTTCCAGCAAACAAACAGCACTGGGTATAGAAAGGGAAGAATTTTAAGTCTTTTCAGCATACTTACTATTCAGTACAGTAATGTATTACATATTAAATGTTATTTAATTGTTAAGCAGTATGACTGTGTCACCCTGTGATTTTCCTCCTCCTGTATAGTGCAAGTGCAGGAATCCATGCTGGGTGGAACTGTATTTACCCAGCATGCAGATAACTGCCAGTCAGACAACTTTGTAATGCAAGTAATTTTATTTCAAATGTAATGTAATTACTGAATTGATTACAGTAATGCATTACTGTAATGTGTTAGTGAAAAATGTAATGTGATGAGCTGATGCGCTACAAAGTAATGTGATAATTTGTAATGTGTTACTTGTCTTAACACATTACAAATTATTACTTAAAACATTATTATATCTAATACAAAGTGATGTGTTACTTTGTAGCACACAAACACTGTCGTGGTTTGCACATTCTCCTAACAAGTGAAGCCTGTTTAATTCTGAGAGAGTACACAAAGTCGGGCTGTGGCAGGAGGGACATCATTTAAAAAAAACAACCCAAGAAACTAAAATCTAATTCCAAATCAAACATGTGGATCTGCTGTGGTAATCCCTGATGGATAAGGGAGCTTTTTAAGATCCAATAGTCCTTTGGTCCTCTTTGTCCAGTCGTCTCTTTCCTTTGTGGACTTTCAATGAAAGCTCACCTGAACCACCTTTATTACCAACGGTTCCTGAGACCAGACGTGTCTCGTCATATGATTTTATGAAGTGTGACATAAGGGCCAAAGGTCACAAACATTCAATATTGGTTATCTAGCTTGTCCTGTGTGTATTCATTTCTCTGGATTCTGTAAATCCTTTAATGATGGGATGAACTATAAATCCTCGAATCCTTTGCAATTTCACATTGAACTATTTATCCCACACACTCTTTAATAGCTTCTTAAGCATTTTTAAGCTCTTTTTCATTCTTAAATGTGTTTCTGGTATCAAGTTCAAAATGTATTTTATTTTTCTTTCATCAATCAGCAGCATTTTATCATCACTTATCTCTTTGCTTCTTCACGTTCTTCTTTAAGTTGCTCACATCATGGGTGACCAAATTGGATCATCTGCTTCTATCTCACCCTGTTCTTGGCATAGTTTTCTGTCAGGGCAACAATCTGCATGCCCTCCTCCACTGCACCCGTAAAACTCCTCTGTGGCCTTCTTCTTTTCTTCTTGTCTGACACCTCCATAGTTAACAGCCCTTGTGCAGTATATTCACTGTCCCTCTTCTGCGCATGTCCAAACCATTTCACCCTTGTCTCTTTGTCTCCAAAAGACTCAAGCTGAGGTGTCTCTCAGATATACTCACTTCTAATGCTGTCCATCCTGATCACAAAAATCTTAGCAACTCTGCCACGTCCAGCTTTGCCTCTTGTCTTTTTATCTTTATACTGTATTTTCCGATAAATGTAGGGATCTAAATGTTTTGAAAGTCATTGCATTTTGTTAATTATACACACGCACACATATCTTAGTGAGCACATCTAATTGAGAAAATACTTTCCCTAGCTGCCTACCCTAACTCTAACCTTCAAAAACGATTGCCTAGCCCTGACCCTTAGCCTAAACGTAACCATAACCTAATTGTAACTAAAACCACATTTGAGCCTCAAAAATGCCTTCAAACTTGTGGGGATGGGCATTTTGTAAAAAGGCAGCGTTATCTCACTTTTAACATATCTAGATGTCTATAAACTGGATTTCAGTTACTGTGTGTATGCGTGTATGCGTGCATGTGTGTGTGTGCATGTGTCTTATTACATTTTGTGTATTGTGTGTGTTGAGGAGTTATCTGTTCTGCTGCCTTTCAGTATGCAGTTGTCACTCTTCCAATTGTTATTTCTCTCTTTAAGATCTCTGCAAATCACCATGTATTTAATTTATTGGCTTACTGGTTTATCTTTTCATTTGTCCACATAAGCATGTCTGCCTGATGTTATCCCAAAAGTCTAATCTCTGTGGGAAAGCTGTGCATAGCCTCAAAATATTCACAACAGACAAATCATCAGAAACATTAAACTGTCTCTAATGACTTATCTAAATAAATAAACATCAAAGTTTAATAAGAATAACTTCATACACCAGAAGTCAATTGCCAAGCTGATTGTAAGTAAATACAGAAAATTACAAATTCTTTGCTGTTAATCTGCTCATGTACTCATATTAAATGTTATTAGAGACAACCACTTCATCTATTATGAAATGGCATTTTCTGCTTATATAATGATGTTTTAACTGGGCTCAATTTTACTTACAGTGCTTTCATAAGTGGGCACAGGGAGGGCACGGAGGTCAGAAACCATAAATTCAAACCCACAATGTCTGTCCTGAGACAAACTGTCGAACATAAATTGGGCAAATGAGTGTCTTTAGGCACGTATTAGTTATCTCTTGCAGAAAGTAAACTCAAGCAAACCTTAACAATATGCCTGAAGGACTTGGGTTGGCTGTTGAATCATGGTCACAACAGCCTAGCAGCCCCAGTGCACTCTTAGAGGCTGTTTCTGTGAGATTAATTAACTATGTGGTATATTAGTTAATGTTAACAGAATACAAAACATGAAGAAGAAATGAAGACATGCAGTTTACATAACTGTATATAATCCCGAACATCTTTCACCAGAGAATAAAGTAGATCCGATTTTAGACCAACATGCTAAAAAAAAGTTTTATATAAATCTCATACTTATTTCTAATGTACAAACATTGTTTATCAACATTATTAAAATGCCAGAAATTTATTTTCACATTTAAATTGATAAGAAATAAAATATCCTTGAACAAAACAAATATTTCCTCCTGTTTGTGTATAATAAATAACATTTACATAAATTCCTGGAATATAAATACAATAGGACAACATTTGATTGTGTAATAATTACTTGTGTTGATTCATTTTCATAAAACAGAACTATTGATTGTAGATAAAGAGTAACTTTACTTTAGGCTAGCTAATAAAATTAAAGTGATCTTTAAGGACTCGTTAAGGCTTGTTTCACCACAGTAACAATGCTTTTTTTAAAAGTCCATTTAGTACTTCTTTGAATCTTTATAGAAACGATTCAAAGACGAAAACAGTTTTTTTCTGTATGCTGTCTCTCACTTGTTATTACTGTCTGCAAAAATTTGCTTGTCATATTGCATATGATCTTTAAATAACTTAATCCCCCAAACTTTCAATTATTTGTGGCACAACACTGAGGTACAGTAGAGCAAAATCTAACTGAACTCCTCTGGAATCTGTCCTGGTATCCTGAAACCAGTCTGCCCAGTATAATCCAGAGAACTGGGAGTAGCAAAGCTTGGACGTGTCTCTAAACTGCAGCTGGTCCTGTTGAGAAACTGCAAGAAGTTCTCATGACCCGAGCCCTCCTGGCTGGACGCTGGCAATTCCATTGGCCGAGTCGAGTAGCAGCGCCTTAGTTTACAAAGCTCTTCCCTAATCTGCCGATTTAGAAGCCCATAGAAAAAAGGGTTAATAGCAAATGACGAATATGCCAGCCAGGTGACAGTTTCCTCCAGGTCATCGGGGATCTGGGGTGTTGCATCAAGTATCAAATGAAGGTGGAAGGCAAAATAAGGCAGCCAGCAGATTAGAAACTGCCCAACAATGACCACCAGAGTAAGAGCAGCCTTACCACCCCCGAAAGGCCGTTCTCGGGTAATCCTGCGTGGGGCATTGCGAGTTGTAATGATGGTAGTCTGACTGTTTATTGAGTCAGAGCGATGCTTCAGTTGACTGTTTGTCCAGGAGGGCAGAGGTCCATGTTGCCGGGCAGCCACACGGGCCACTTTGTAGATATTACAGTAGACAGCAAAAATCACAACTGCTGGCAGACAGAAACAGGTGACACTGAAGAGCACAGAGAAAATACGCCTGTGGTCACTGTTGCTCCAGTACAGTGAGCAGTGTGCTGCACTGACGGAGGTCAGGCTGCCATAAGACGGCCATCCAAACACAGTAGACAATCCCAGCCCTGCAGAAGCGACCCACACTATCACCATCACAGCTGCAGTCAGCTTCAGCGTCATCTTGACCTCATATCGCATGGGGTGAACAATGTAGTAATAACGCTCCACGCTAATAGCTGTGATGGTGAAGATGGAGGCTGCTATGAGGATTACATTGAGGAAGACATAGATCTGGCACTCCAGCATAGTGAACACCACACCAGCAAAGTACCCCGAGCTGGACACAATGCCGAGTGGCATGATCAAGATGGCACACAGAAGGTCCACTGCACAAAGATGGCACAAAAATACAAATTTCCTGAGATGAGGGGCTTTGATGACAACCACAAGAACAGCAGTGTTGGCCAGAAGTGCAAGAAAATTTAGGGTCACCATGAAAAATAATCCCATGAGGTCCTTGAGACGTGTTTGTGGGCTGGGAACATTTCCTAAGTGTCTGCTGGGTGCAGAAGGCTCTATTGGCCAAGCGGCAGTGCTTTCATTGTACTCAGTCACAAATGAACTGTACTCTTCCATGATTCATAATAAAGAACGAGTTAAGATCTGTATTCCAGTGGCTCCCATTGTTAAGCGACGAAGCTAAAAAGTTCTTCAGACATCAAAAGAAATACACCTCACTTCTGTAAAGACAAAATGAAGAAAAGGATAAATATATCAATGGCAAATTTTGCATCTTTTCATTTGCATCAGATGGCTTTACTTTTGCACAGTGGAAACACTTTCTAGTAAAGCATTACGTATTATTTCGCAAATTTGGAGCTACTTTCCAATAAGTTTTGCTAAATCCTCGTCTGTATTCACCCAGTAGTTGCTCATTTTATCTGCACTGAGCCCTTTGTAATTTGTCTCAAACAGTTAACTGCTTTAGCTTAAAATGACGATGGTAGTTGAGGGCAAACTAAAACAGAACAGCTTTAGGCTGAAAATCTTTAAAATGCTCTCCAGAGCTCAGATAGCCTGCAGCTGGGTGATAATTGTTTGCAGGTTCTTTGATAGGAACGGGCCTTTTCACAAGTAGCTATATTGATTACAGTAAGGACAAAGAATGTTAACAATACACGCTATAAGTTACACAAAGCACTGTTAAGGGGGTTATTTAATACCTATTAGATCATTTCTGAATGATAAATTCTAAACATCTTTCCAACTTTAAACCTGCATTCCTAAAGCCATATGTAGTCTCAAGGCATGAGTTGAGATAACCCTAATGACATCACAACAATGGCATTAGCCATTTAAAAAAGCACATCCAGAGCCACAGAAGGCATTACATACAACAGTTTTTAACGTACAATATTACATTTGTTGTCAAATTGATCATAACTCATCACACTAACTGTATCTGACATACTCTGCAGTGTGATATATAAATACAAACATCCAGGAGTACTCACTACAACCTTCATCAAAACACACAGACGTTCACCTTATTAGTTAGGCTGTTTATGCCATTTTGTATCTATAGTGAGGGAGAAACATGATCAATGGGAATAATTCATGGAGGACACTGTGTTTCTCCTCCATCCATCCCCATCCTTTAGAAATGAAAGATAATGAGCATGCTTGTTTTAGCCCAGCTGCAGTGAACTGCCTGCATTGATTAGTATGTGTTCAGTGTCACCCTTCACCATACCATCAAAGAGGAGACCTTAAACCAGAACACGCCTGACCCCTAATCACCGAGCAATCTAGAAATAGTATATAAAACAATGTAACAAATGTAACATTAATCCGTTTACATTTACTTTCACGTCTGTGCTGCCCTTCATGTGCCTCCCCCATAAATGTATCTAACTATCTTGTTCTGATAATCATAATCAGGTTTCAGGCTGTGGAGGACGCTGTGTCCTAAATACATGTGCTCTCTATCCACTGGTTATCCACTGATTCTCTCTGCCGCTGTAATCTTCTATGGTGGACAGCTATTGGCATGCCACGTTTGCACTGAGATTTATCCCCAGGAAGGACTAGTACATGTACATTCTCATACACATTATGTAAGGCTGTCCTCGTTCTCATCATGTTCCAGTTGCAGCCCAGCATGTGATGTTCTTCAGTCCACAAATGACTTCTGAACAGGTTTACCTTTTCTAGCCACTGCTCAGTTTCACTTTATTTGATTCTCCAAAACATTTGTAGTCATTTTACATCTATGTTTAATACTTCTGTCTGATTTTATCGCTCCTCTTGGTTTTTCAAATAAATCCTTTTTAAAAGCCAAAAAAGGTCTTAAGAACCATTTTGATGTATTTAAGCTTGCATAATGTTAGTAATGAGCATTTATTCCATTATCTGACTTTTCTGTTGAATTTGAATTGCACAAATAGGTTTTAAAGAGTTCAAACTTAACGCAAGAAACTGAAAGTGTTGACCAATTTTAATTAGATTTAAAAATGAGGTCTCCAATAACTGTTAACTCAGCTCATTCTGATACAAAATGAATGACACTTCAACATGCAGCTGCAAAATTCCATCCATGTGCTACAGTATGTTGAAATGCTGAAAGTTCATAAGTTTAGGTTAATAATTTCATTCATTCATTCATTATAATAAATTCACTAGAAGGCAACATTTCATCAGCTTGTAATGTACTTGGACTTTGTGGGTTTTAAATGTGTAGTGAACCCTATGAATTGATGCACAGTTATATTCTTAACTAGCATTATCTATCCAGTTTTTCTGAATGACATAATTTGAGAGACTTTTTTATTTCTGGCATGGCTCAACTTGGTGTTAAACTTGCTCAACTTTAAGAAAAAAACCATTAAGGCAGTGTCAGTGAAATCTGCTAAACAAATTCTAACAATTTCAGGAAGTGTTACACAAACGTCTCAGTCATTTGATCTGATAGAACAAAATAAATCAATGAAATAAGTAAATATGAAAGTGAAATGCTTTACTTTACTTTGCATTTTACTTTAAGCAATGAACCAAACAAATAGAATAATATATATTCTTTCACATCATAGTTAAGTGTTATATAATCAAATAGCTATATACTTACATCAAAGCACTTTCATTTTGAAAATTGGTCCTTAAAAAGTTCTTGTAAACTAGAAATCTTCCAAAACACTCTGATATTTCAGAAACTTTGAAAAGCATCAAATTCAGTACTCAGGTGTTGCTGCAGGTGCATAATGGTCCACTGGGAACTATCCTGCTGTGTTGCAACTTCTCATGAAAACAGCTGATTTCCGACAGGAAAAAAAAGGCTTTTGAGGCTTGACAGAGGACCCCTGGGAGGACTGAGGGTATCGGAGAGAGGTGATGTGCTGTGAGTCCACTGAGGCAGCCCAGCTAGCCCGAGGGAGGGGGGGGGGGGCGAGGAGCCAGCCTTTGGTTGTCCAAATCACATCTTTCAAGCGAAGATGACTGCATCAAACCGCCTCCCACTGACATTAACCATGTCCCACACACACTGTCGTTCATCAGTCAGTCAGTATGTGGCTGTGACTGTTACACACTGTTCTTGTTCTTACACTTGCTCCTCTATTCTCTTCATAGCTCCAGAGAACGAGGACACTGGTGTATTGCTTGAATGTAATGACTCATTTACCATTTAACACACAGTACTTCCTTAATTTAGTTAACCGAGTTTCTTTCTTTTCTTTTTTGTTTACTTAAGTAACAGTCACCTTTCAGCGGAGTAGATCAATACTACAACAGGGGAAACAGGGGTCAGTACTGACATCTGTTGGCTGAGGAGGAAACAATACTGTAGGTTACTGTGCTGATGGAAGAAAGATTCAAATAACTGAAAAAATATCAGCTGCAAAACTTTATTGTTTGTTAGAGTGAAGCACAGAAAACACATGACAAACATTTTGAAACAGTTATCACATACAGTATACCTTGAAATTACCTGCAATGCACAAGTTGGAATGAACAACAGGGCAAAAGTGAGATCCCTGTCCTACTCACACGTGTAAAGGTCAGCTGACTGACTGATTCTAGCTTAAAAGGTTATTAACTTATAACCACTCTCTTAAATACAGTAAGAAAACCTAAATAAGAACACTTGTTTACAGTATTAATGATTACATATGTGGCAGTGTATAGCGCTATCGAACGTCTGGGTGTGGACACCATGTGACACTCAAGGTGAAAACAATCTAACAGACATTAACTGCTGTCAACGTAAAAATATAAATACTTATCATTCTTAAAAAATAAAGAACTAGATTTTAATGCTGAATGAACTATAGTGGATAAAAAAGGCAATCTGTGACCTATTTCTATCAGACATGAAATACGTGTGACCAACGGATGAAGACAGAGGTGAAGGACTATAACTGAGAGTCACTTGTCATTGCTCCGTCGTCAGGCAGAAGCGAGGCATCTTGGCAAAAGCTTTGCTCAGCATTAGCTCTGTTTTCTGTTTTACCCAACCCCAGTCTCTTCTTCAATAATTTATCCTCATTGTTCAACTTTGTGCGGATTGCGGTTTTTATTTGGCTGCTGTCAACACTGAACTTGGCTGCCACATGATCTGCAGGAAAGAAACAGAAACCTCTGGTTATCAAATTAGTACGTACAGTGGTGTGAAAAAGTGTTTGCCTTCTTCCTGATTTTCTAGTGTTTTGCATATTTGTCACACCTCTATGTTTCAGATCTGTTTCAGAAGTAATGCCCCCTCTTGTTAAATCACAAATTTACTATGATTCTTGTTTTGTTAATCATTGTTTTGGAAAGTGTTTTACTACAGACACCCAGGCCTGAATACTGGCAGACCTGTTGAATCAAGAAATCACTTGAGAAACAAAGTCAGAGATATTCATCAGTCTGGAAAGGGTTACAAAGACATTTCTAAGGCTTTGGGACTCCAGTGAACCAGAGTGAGAGCCATTACACACAAATGGAAAAACTTGGAAAAGTGGTGAAGCTTCCCAGCAGTGACTGGCCTACCAAGATTACTCCAAGAGCACACCAATGACTCATCCAGGACAATATTATGGAACCACAAGCTTCACATGTCTCAGTTAAGGTCAGAGTTCATGATTCAACAATAATAAAGAGACTGGGCAAAAATGCCATCCGTGGGAGAGTTCAAGGAGAAAACCACTGCTGACCAAAAAGAACACAAAGACTCGGCTCATATTTGCCTGAAAACATCTTGATGTTCCTCAAGAATTTGGGGGAAATACTCTGTGGACTGACAAGAACAAATGCTGACATTTTTAGAAGCATGTGTCCCATTGCATCTTCATCTCATCTTTCATTTCAGAAAAGGATCATACTGGCAGTAAAATATAGTGGTGGCAGTGTGATGGTCTGGGGCTGTTTTGCTGCTTTAGGACCTGGAAGACTTGCTGTGATAAATGGAACCATGAATTCTATGGCGTTATTTTTGTGCCACTATTCTGAGTGCACGGAAAATTTTTTTTTGAGCGCACGTAAAAAAAAGTTTGCAGGTGCAAGTGTTGCATTTTGAGGAGAAATTTATTTTGAGCGAAGAAAAGCTAAATTTGAGTGAACAAAACTCATTGCTGCGTGCAAAAAAAAAATGTATTTCAGTGTTTGCTATTATCCACACACACAAACACACAATAGCAGCCCCTCTCGCTCAGTTTTTGCATTTGCGCTTGCTCGCAATGTGTTGCTCGCGCTCTCAACGTGTTACTCGCGCGCTCAACATTTCTGCCCGTGCGCGCTCAACATTTCTGCCCGTGCGCGCTCAACTCTTTCTCTACACCGTTATATTTGTGCCACAAAACCAGCCAATCACAGACTTGGATGCAAAAAAATCCAAGCTGAGCGCGCACGGGCAGAAATGTTGAGAGCGCGAGCAACACATTGCGAGCGAGCGCAAATGCAAAAACTGAGCGAGAGGGGCTGCTGTTGTGTGTGTGTGGATAATCGCAAACACTGAAACACATTTTTTTGCACGCAGCAATGAGTTTTGTTCACTCAAATTCAGCTTTTCTTCGCTCAAAATAAATTTCTCCTCAAAATACAACACTTGCACCTGCAAACTGTTTTTATGTGCGCTCAGAATAGTGGCACAAAAATAACGCCATAGAATTCTGCTGTCTACAAAAAATCCTGAAGGAGAAGGTCTGTTTCTGACCTCAAGCTGAAGCACTATTCAAGCACAATGATCCAAAATACACCAGCAGGTCCACCTCTGAATTGCTTAAGAAAAACAAAATAAAGGCTTTGGAGAGACCCAGTCAAAGTCCTGACATAAATCCGATTGAGATGCTGTGGCATGACCTTAAAAAGGTGGTTCATGCTCAAAAGGCATGCCAGTTATCGCTAATGCTTGATTGTAGCTGTTGCTGCTAAGGGCGGCACCAACCAGTTAGTAGTTTTAGGGGGCAATCACTTTTTCATACAGGGCCATGTAGTTTTGTATTATTTTCCTCTTAATAATAAAAATCTTCATATAGAAACTCTATTTTGTGTTTAATTGTGTAATTGTGTTATGTTTGTCTGATTTTCAAATTTGTTCGATGATCTGAAACGTTAAAGTGTGACAAACATACAAAAAATAGGAAATCGGGAAGGGGGCCAACACTTTTTTCAATCACCATATACAGCATTTACAAAGAAGGCTAATGTTTCTAAGGCATCCTTAGTGTTCCTTGATTTACCGATTAAACTTTTCAAAATCTCAGGTGGGAGCTGTGGCTTGTGGCAATCCTCTCCCGTAAAGGTATTCCTACGGCCCTGCAGAGAGTGGGTGGCCAGCGTTTCTCTGTCAAAAAGTATCATGAGCAGGGCTGAAGTGTACTTCTTGTAGTCTGCAATTTCTGCAATGCGCTCATAAAGATTTTTTGGCACTCGAAGATTCTCTGAGAGATAGATGAAATTGTGGTCATCCTACAAAGAAAAAGAAATATCTTTTATAAAAACATTACATTTCATTGGTGTTTGATCCCAAATTAACCACTTATAAAATAACAAATTAGTGCTAGCCTGCCTGAGCTTAAAAACAATGAACATTTCAAATGAGCACCAATGACATAAAACTTCTTCTAAGATAACAAAATGTTAATGAACTGATCAATCTGCCAACTCAGTTATACAAAGAAAGTACAAAGTCTACAGCACACAGGAGCGTTGACCTCTGGTATATTATGAAGCGCTCTCATTTCTGCCTCAGGCTCAGTCAGGAAAGAGATAGTCTCATCAGAGTTTTGTGGCGCAACTGCTCCTTCGCCTCCGTGGAGAACATGATCCAGGGTGACCCGCAGTTCATGTGCCGTGTGCCTCATCTGCATCATGAGAGTGTTCATCTCTGAAAAACGTTACAAACCACTGAAGTAAATCCGACACATGGTGAAGATATTCATCAGATAAATTATTTCATTTTATGTTTACAGCATAAACTCAGACAGAAAACTAAAAAGACTGACGGGATCCAATTTTTCCTTCCGCACATGTTATCAATGCACTAGACAGTTACACAGACGAATACTCAACATTTGACATTTAAATTTTAATAAGGCCCTGTTCTTGTCATTGTTGTTAAGAAATTCCCTTAAGTAATCTTCAGGAAAAGTTCTCCTGGCTTCTTGAAAGAAGCTCAAAGCTCTTCTTTGGATGTTGGCTGCCTTTTGTTTCTTTCTGTTTTCTCTGTCACACACTGCTTCAGTAATATTTGCTCTGTCAAGGCCAATCCATGACTGTGTGTTTGGAATCACTGTCAGTATAAAAAAATGAAGCTGTTGCCAATCAGAAATTTTCCAAATGGTACCTCGCTGTTCTTCTGCTCACAAAAGTTTGGCAAATTCAAATTTTCCATACCCATTTCCTTCCTTACGCATGGCTTCTTGACAGCCACCCTCCAGCTGAGACTGTTTGTGATGAGGCTTCAGTGAACAGTAGATGGATCAACTGAAAGGCCAGATGCATCTCCTCAGATCTTTTCTGGCTTTTTTCCTAATTATTAAGGACATGACTTTCACATACTGTAGATATTTTTCTAACACTTCTTTTGTCCTCTGCTTATCCAGAACAAATTCTCCACAAGTTCTATAAGGACACACTTCCCACCATGTTGAGATGTACCAACTTTTAAGCTAATAGCTCTGTGAGAATTACCATGATGGTA